TAATATTTGAAAGTGGAATGAAAAAAAGGAACATTCAGTTTTTAACAGGATAATTTGGCCATGCTATTAGCATTAGCATCCGCAATGTTAACCTTGGTTTTTAACCACGTTTATCCAAAAAAATAAAAATAAATAAATAAAAATTTCATGACATGTTGCTAACACTAGGTGACACTTGCTAAATGTTAGTTGGGGTGTGTGTGTTTAATTCTGTAGTAAAATAATAATTGGAGTGTTTTCACCTGAAGCTGCTGGGATTGGCTGCAGCTCCCTTTGATGCTTTGAAAGGGATTCGTACTAAACAGTGGAGCTAGCTAATGCTCATAAATGAAGGAAGTTATTATGAGTTATTACCAGGGTCATGTAATGTTAGATTTGAAAGGTTGAAAGTTCCCGCCGTCAACAAGTTAACCCTAACACAAAAGTACATTTACGATCAAATCTTTGATTTTGGCAGTTTGTTAGTTCAAGTTTCTTTGATTTTGGCAGTTTGTTAGTTCAACTTTAGCCCTAGGAAATTAAATTCTCAACTACTTCAGGTTATCAACCAACACAGGAAATCTACTAAACCTGCTAACATCAAGAAAAACATTTCAAAAGTAACAGTGGTCGCCATGGTGACCAGACAGCTCCAGCAGAAGACACGGGAAGTCGTCTGTGTTGTTGAGCTGTCTCTAGGAGAGGGTGGGCTGTTCAGGGTTCTTCTATGTCATGTCTGTGTGTGATATGATTAGCCTAGCTTAGCATAATGAGTCCAACAAGCTAGCTTGACCTTGTCATGGCATCTTTGTCTCAGGTGAATTGTTTGTTTTGATGTTCCTGACAGTGGTGTAAATGAAATAAAGAAATCAATCAATCAACTACAGTGGAACCCAGATGTTTATTTGCGCTTTCCTAAAAAAATGTATGTAAAACCAGATATGACAGATTGACATTATGATGACATCATAATTTAATGATCAAGACTTTAATGATCATGATAATGAACAAGATGTGTGTGAGTGTTGGCACTGCAGTGACATCACAGAACCCTGTGATGTCACCTGTGATGTCACCAATAAACCATTTGTTATTTACAAATCATTAACGGTCCGATCTTTGACTCAGGATTATTTTGTATCACAGTTTTAGTAAAACGTCATGGTTGAATGTTAGTGGGCCAACGTTCTGAGCATGCTCAGTTCAACAGGTGTCAGGAAGCCACCAGCTGCTCAGCTGCGTCATCGTTCGCCTCAAATGTCTCAGCTGCAGTTTCAATAGCTACCACCGTCTCCTCCTGTTTGTACGTCAGCATCATGTCGTCCTCAAACAGAATGGGCGGGTCTTCCTGCGACTGCTGCTTCCCCACGCCATGCATCCGCCTCAAGTGCTGCTGCAGGTTCCCGCGGCGGTTGAAGCGAGCAGGACAGAGGTCGCAGGCGAAGGGTCGCTCCCCCGTGTGGATGATGACGTGTCGATCCAGTTGTGAGCGACACTTTTTGTCCTTGCCACAGATGTGGCAGACAAAACTCTGGGGCGCTCTTTCGCCGTTGGCGTGCACGACCTCCCGATGCCTCTTGAGGTGGCTGCGGCGCCTGAAGCGTCGGTTGCAGAAATCGCAAGCGTACGGACGCACTTCGCTGTGGATCAGCGAGTGGCTCTCTAGCAGAGACTTAAATTTGAAGACTTTGCAGCAGACAGGACAGGGGAAAGCCTTGGTCTGGGACGTGCTCTTCCTGATCCTGCCTCCACCTCGTGCTGCATCACACACTCTGACCTTAAGGTGGACACGCATGTGGTGTTGCTTTAGCCACGTGACCCTCTGGAAGCTGCGCAAACAGATGCTGCAGCGGTGCGGCCGGTCGTCCGTGTGGACGTGGGAGTGAGCCATGAGATGTGCCTCAGACTTCAGACGCTTTCCACACACGCTGCAGGTGTAAGATGAGTCAGACGCCAGGTTTTCCTCACCGATCACCTGGTTAGAGTGGATGAGGATCTTGTGCCGTTTGAGCTGGTGTGGTCGAGCGAACTTACGGCCACAGATGTCGCAAAGATGCGGACGTTCGCCCGTGTGAGTCTGGAGGTGGAGGTGAAGCTGGGAGCGACATTTGAACTCTTTGCCACAAAAATCACAGAGCAGTAAACTGGGCCGCGGCTCTTTTCCTCCCTCCACGTGCACAATCTTCTTGTGGTGTTCAAGGTCATTGGTCCTCATGTATGCTTTGGAGCAAAGGTCACAGCGGTAAGGTTTGACCCCTGAGTGAATGATCTCGTGCGCTTTTAGCCTCGACCGGCAGCTAAAGGTTTTGCCGCAGACGGCGCAGAGCCAAGCCTGCACCGCTCGCTGCTTCTCCAGCCTGGCAACACCATTAGGGTGGAGCTTGCTCAGGTGATGCTGCAGGTTGTCGCGGCGGTTAAAGCGCAGGTCACACAGGTGACAGGCGAACGGTTTCTTACCCGTGTGGATGAAGGAGTGACGTGCCAAACTCGACTTGTTCTTCATCACTTTCCCACAAACGTCACACATGATGGTTTCCATCTCGAGCTTCACTGACGTGGCCTCAGGTGCATGTTGGGAATTCAAGTCATTATTGACACGCTCCAAAGACTTTGCTGTGAATTCAACTTCTGAGTGAGACAAAAGAAAACAAAGTAAATGGAAAGAACGAGGAAAAGGTTAATAAATGTTAATAAACAGTTTCCTTGAAAAGAGCGGCAGCCTCTCACGTTTAGATGGAATCCAGTTTGGATCGTCTTTCTCCATCTGCTCCTGCTCCTCCTCTTCTTCTTCTTCTTGTGCCTGCTCCTCCTGCACCTCTGCCTCCTCCTCCTTCTTGTCCTGTGGCTGCTCCTTCTCCTCCTGTGCTTCAGTACGACAGGACAGTCGCGGTCGCCCTCTTTGCCGTTTTCGCCCTGGATTATTCATTTTTCTACTCTGAGGTTCTCTTCTGTGACTTTTGGACTCGTGTGTTGGGGACAGTCTGATGGCAGGTTTAATGGTTCTAGTTCTGGTTCTAGAGGTGCAGTGTTGCAGTAGAGCGCCCCCATCTGATCCATCTGGTCTGACAGAAAAACACTCCAGTAGCATTGTTGACGATGCTGCTGACAAACAACCACACAAGTAACCGTCAAACTTAAGAAATATTTACAGTATTTGCTGTTACAAGAAACAAGCAATTTGCTGCCACCTTGTGCTGGAATCGCACTATTGCACGTAAGTCATTTACATGAGGTTGACCACTATTGCACGTAAGTCATTTACATGATGTTGACTTTTGCTATTAATTTTCTTTTTTCAACTTTATCAAATGTTTCAAATACACCTGTAGTTTGAGTTTCCACTTCTGAGAAGCAGGTGAAAAAAACCCAACAAATTTAATTGGAAAACAGATCCAATATAATTAGATACTTCTGCTGGAAAGTCAAGTTCACTCACAACAAAGCAGGAAAATCAGGGATTTTAGCCTTCTGCTGGAAAGTCAAGTTCACTCACTGTCACAACATAGCAGGAAAATCAGGGATTTTAGTACAGAGGGACACAGCAGCTGCTGGTCCACTGCTGCCTCATGTGGTCAGTGATGTGATTTGAGATAAATCTCATTAAAACTTAGTAATGGAGGAAGCACTAGTTCAACATCTTCTCCGTGTCAAGTTGCAAAAGGTCCAGATTGAGCGCGTTTATAAAGTTTTGTTTCACAGTGTGTTCATTGGTCTTTTGTTATGCCTCACATTATGCACTACATTCATGTTATTTCACAGTGTGTTCATTGGTCTTTTGTCTCACATTATGCACTATCTTCATGTTTACATCTTCTAACTCACTTGAGTTCGCCCAACCGAGCTGATGAGTCAGCAGGTCCACCGGGACGCCGACGTCCCTCTGCTCTGCCCAGTCGCTCTGACAGGCCACTTCCTTACTCTGCTGAGACTGACTCTCCCACTGACACGCCACCTCCCTCTTAGTCACCACCTCCTCTGCTCCCAGCAGTAAAACGCACAGGTGCTCTGCTCCTCCTCCAGCAGAGGGCTCCATCTTCAACACCTGAGCAGGACGACAGGATCAGACTTTGGCCACCTTACAGAGAGGCTTCTGAAGGGTCCAAAGACCAATGACAACCGCTACAGGCTACACTTGACACATGTGATTTAATGTTTCCCTGCAATTATGTAATCCACATGACTAAAAGCAAAGAGTAAGGTTATTCTGGAATGAATAACCTAAAGACGTTCTTGGGGAAATTATGTTTATAACATCATTTAAGAAAACACGTTCCCTAATTCTGAAATTTTAGGATGAAATGACCTGGACAACTATTTAGTCTTGAAGGTACTCATTGTATAATAATATGTTAGACGTAATACAGGTGTTACAAAATTACTTAAAAACATATTATCAAAATTCTAGCAACCACACAACCCCGTCGAATTGATTGCTTTTATTGCAGAATTTATGGAAATATTGTTTAAATATTATGAATACATCGTTTAGATCTAGTGACTGACTGCCGAACACGCGTTGAATAACTTCAGAAATGACATATAACAGCTATAATCGGCCGCTACTATCGTTACCTGACCTACCTACCATCATTTATTTCAACAAACGTCAATGTAAACATACTCTAACGCGAGCTTAAAGCTAACAACATTGATAACATGCTAACGAACAATTCCCGCCTGTCACGCAGCAGAGACTGAAAAATATTGTTCTAACCTTGTTCGGATCACCCAGGGCTGGAGCGGTCCTACTGTCAGGAAGCTGATTTTAAAACTTCTACAGAAGATTAAAGGCGGACTTTTTAAAGTTTTACACAGAAAAAAAAGAAAAGAAAATCGCTAAGGAGACAGGACCATCCGGAATCACTTCAATCTTCCTCTCTAACTACTTCCTGCTGCTTATCTCCGTATAGCGGCTCGGTGGTGCCCCTACAGGTCGGGAGAAAAAACACAGGTGTTCACAGTTTTATTTTGCGTTACTTTGTACCTTTTTATCAATTGTCGATAACATTTCTCCCATTTGTTGATATTTAAAAACATATTTATTCAATTGCTTTCCATTTTTTTACTCTATGATAATTTAAAGGATTTTGATGTGAAAACTAAACCTAAAAAATGACCTCATAATTGTACTTCAGCAGTCTGCCTATTTTCCCGTGTGTGAGACAGGTTCAGCATGATGTCATCTTATTATCTCGGTGAGGTGAGAACACAGAGTCCAGGTGAAAGTGAGTGTACATATTTTATTTGGAATATTCTGGAATTGTACAACATAAATAAATGTTCTTTTCAGCACAACAGTCAATCTTTACAGTAGTTACTTTAACCCTGGTATGTGTTTAACCCAACTTAACTCAACGGGTCTGATTAAAACTCGAGCTAAAATCATCTTTTACACAGAGGTATAAATTAACCCAGTGAAGTGCCTAACAAGACTGAGACCCACAACAAATTTGACTGAATTAACCCAGTGAAGTGCCTAACAAGAATAAGAACTTACACAGGTGTGTTTTATCCCAAGTGAGAGAATCCAGACCTGGTGTTAAACTAAACCACACCAGATGCATGATCTACCATGGTAAATAAAATCCAATAATTTTACTTGGGGTAACACATTTCAGGGGGGTAAACTAACCAAGATCTATGTTAAACCAAACCGGGGTTTAGACAAGTTACACGAGTTTTGTTGATATCCCTGATCAGTTTTTAATCAGCCTAGTTTTGGATTCAGTAATCCAGATGAACGTATGACCAGGATTAAACTAACTAGGGTTTAAATGACTGTGTCTTTGTGCTTCAGAGAGATGACATTACCGTGAAACAATGAAGGAATAAATATTTAACTTCCTGCTTTATTTACATTATTAACATTATCAGCAGTTAGCCCCGCCCAGCTGCTGACGTTACTCCAGTCCTGGTCGTTCTCTTTTCCAACTCCACTGAAGAAGACGGACGAATGTCAGATTTATTTAAAAAATATATTAAAAAAAACATCAACACAATTCCAGAATCTGAACCTGACAGACGATCTCCGACTCATAACGCTGCCGTCTGTATTTACTTGAAACGTGGTACTTCTTTGGGCTCCGCCCCCTTTTTAAAGAACAGATTCCTGTCGTACTGTTTTGGTTCTTTTAGTTTCAGATTCTGGATACAGTAAAACAGGAAAAAACAACAACAACAATAACAACAGCAACAACAACGTGACAAGAGTCTGTGTTCATGCTTCAGTGCAAAATTGTACTGCTCCTCTTCGCCTTCAGTCAGTAGTGGACTCCGCCTCCTCCCTCTGTAGCCCCGCCTCCTCCCTGCTCACTGACGATGACCGTGGTGATGATGGTGATCATGATGATTGACAGGAGGAGGTGGAGGATGAGTCAGGTGGAAGTTACGCAGGGTTGAGATACTCCAGAGCAACTTCGTAACAGAACTTATACTGTTCCTGTAGAGACATGTCAGACAAAGGGTTAATGTTTTCAACACAAATGACACAAACTGTACCGTAAATATACAAATAAAAAAAAATTATTATAAAAATTATTATTATTATTAAATCGCTGTCAGACCCTTCCTTACTGTCTACTAATATCTCAGCTAAATGTTTATTAACATTTTGATCACTAGACAAATGTTTTGTATTATTTTTTATCTTCAAGAATACTGTTGCTATCTTTATCTTATTGTTCTGTCATATCAGATACATTTTGTTAAATTTTATTTTTTAAGTTTTCCTGAATAAACTTTTACAACATCACTGCAGAGTAAACGAACATGAACATTTGGTATTTACCAGCAGGTCGACCATGTTTGGTTTGTTGTTTCTTAACGTTTTGACGGCGTGAAAGACGTCAACGCAGCGCTGCTGCCGTAACATTTCACACACGATACTGACACTGCAGAAAACGCCACTGCGACCGCCTCCATTCCTGAAGAGGAGAAGCCAGGACACAGGAGAGGAATCAAGAAGGAGAGAAGAGGAGAGAAAAAGAAAGGAAAAAGATAGATGTTTGTGTTATTCTGTTTTTCACCACTTGATGGCGACATATCACTGCTGTTGAAAACTAAGCTCAAATGTATTTGTGTGTTTCTTACAGGCAGTGTACCACCGTCCGTCCCTCTCCTCCGTCGTACTCCTCCTGCCACTTCTCCACCTGATGAACCAATTTGAGGAAGGAGCGTTTGGATGTGGGCGTGTCCCGGTACATTGGCCAACCCAGGAACTGGAACTGTTGGACCATACGGTACCCGTCCTGTGGCTGCAGAACAAAGGCACAAACCGTACTTTAAACACACCCCAAAACCAAACCAAATGCACATATATCAAACGTACACCCAAAATAAACCAAACACATGTATATCAAACACACCCTAAACTCTGAGAGGAGGAGGAGAAAAAGAGTGAGGGAAGGAGGCGAAGATGGGAAGAGGAGGAATGACAAGGAAGGATGAGTAGACGGAAAAAGAGGAAGGAAAAAAAGCGTAAAGGAAAAGGAGAAAGAAGAGAGGAAATGAGCGGCAGGGCAGAGTCAGAGAGAAGGAAAGAAAAACATTTTCCTCCTCATACGAATCAAGACTGAAGGGAGACAAGGAGAGATGATTCTGGAACAATTTTACACTGAAATTAAAAAAAAGTTTACACAGGCCCTAATCTGTATGAAATAAGAATTATTTACAACATTAACTTTTTACTAAGAGATAAGTCACATTTTTATTCTGGCTACATCTTTTGTTGTGTTATGTTTTCAATCAGGTAGGGGCCTGATGGAGTTAAAGAATCTGCGTCAGGCGGTGTTAAACAAACGCACCCTGGCCGTGTTATAGATCCTGAAGATACGACTAATGACGTCTTCTTCCAGATCAGCGGAGACAAACTCCACCTGCAGTGAACCCAGACGATGGAGGCCATTCTCCGGCCAGTACTGAGGACACAGCTGGGACACAAGGGGGCGACACTGGTTACATGTTATAATTTGACTGAACAGTTTGTGTGTATAACTGAGCGGTAGTGTTACCTGTGCAGGGTCCACGTCGTTTAGCATGACAATGGACGTGCAGTGATAGTCCAGGACCAGACGCCAGAAGTCCTTCACAGTGTTTGGCAAAGGATGCTGGGTAACGATGAAGGCTGATGGCTGCTTGTAACTCTGAAAACATAAACACATGGAAAATGGTGGAATAAACTGTTTGATATTTCTATGCTTGTTCTGTGACACACACACACACACACACACTGTGGTATTTGGTTTAGCCTCCATGGCGACAGAGTTGTTTATTAGTAAAATTGAAGGATGTTCAGAACTGTGGTCAGTGTGCGTGCACGTGCGTGTGCACGTGGGAGTAACTGAACCTACCATTAACTCACACAGATGCTGAGGCTGCTCATTCTCTCTCTATTACAAACCAGAGCTCGCTCGCTCATGCTTCAAAGATACAGTTTCTTTTTCAGCCTCAAAATAATTAAAAAAAAAACTCGAAACAAAATCGATATTTTTTTTGGTGTTTGTGCACTTCATCTTTCTAACCACTGTGTGGAGATCACCACGTACATCCATGAGGGCGGCGTTGATGTAGTTGGAGCTCTCTCCGTCAATGGTGATGAGGAAGGGCAGGCAGCGGTCGGGCGGCAGCACGTCCATGCAGCGGTTCTTCTCGTGGTTCCGAGGCAGCAGAGCGATGCTGCAGTCCTCCACCCGCAGCGTCGGTGTCACCATGTTTAGAGTCTGTCGACACGCAAAGACACAGACCATGGGAACACTTCAACACACCAACCTGACCTGACCTGACCTGACCTGACCTGACCTGACCTGACCTGACCTGACCTGATCTGTGAAACACACTTCCTTTCCTCTGGGGATTTAAACTTCACCGTCTATTCAGGGTTTATTAACACTTAATAACAGCCTAATAAACTTTACTGGTCAGTGTTGATCATCTTATAACAGCTGTAATACAGTTGAGGCTTCACAGTAATTTTTAAGTCGGTTCCATAGTGTAGTGGTTAGCACGCCTGCTTTGAGAGCAGAGAGTCTTGGGTTCAATTCCCAAAGGAATTCCCAGTATCTGCTATTAACACAAGCAGAGAGTCTTGGGTTCAATTCCCAGCATCAGCTATTAACACAAGATTGTCCCAAATCCAATATACCATTATGGTTCAATTTAATATTATTATTTTATTATTATAAAGACCGTTTCTAATGTCAACTTTGTGTTTTATTATTTTATTATTATAAAGACCGTTAACTTTGTGTTGACAGTAGAACGTTATAAATTGTCTTTTTTAGACACATTAATTAGGTTGTAAGATGAGGCTTTATTAAGCCTTGATTATTTTGAGAAAAAGATTTTCCTGAAGTAAAAAAAACACCTTCATTTGTCATATTAAATAAGATTAAATAGATAATATTAACACCCAAACAAGCAGCTTCATAAACTGAACTTTAAAAAGTTTTTGGATTCGTTTGAATAATGTTTTTAGGAACGCTGATGTGTTTGAAAAAGAGAGGAATGTTTTGATGAAGTCATTCATTCGTTACCCTGAACTCCTCTTTGATCTGACTGGAGTTGGTCTGAGGATCCAGTCGGTTCATCTCGTAATAAACTGAACGCAACTGATTGGCTGGAATGGCCGTGTCGCCGCAGAGACAGGCCTCCAAGATGGCGTCGTGGATGAAGACGTACTGCTCCTGCGGAAGGAAGAGACGAAGGTCGAAAAGTCTGAGTGAGAGTTGAAGCAGAGGGTGAAGGTGTGACGTGACGTCACGGCTCGGCTGACGTACCTCCGTCTGCACCATGTTGACCCGCCGCGCCCTCAGCTCTCTGACACAGTTGTAGATGTCGACCACACCTTCTCTCTCCGCCATGTCCAGCATGATGTCGATCACGATGAAACACCCAGTACGCCCTGCCCCCGCACTGACACCCAGATGATACACACGCGTGTCAGACAATTAGAGCTGATCACAGGTCAGGTGACTACTGTCATCATTATACCTGCAGTGAACCACTGTGGGGCCGGCCGTGGGCGGAGTTTTGGCCTTGACACGGCGGATGAAGCCCAGCAGGCCGGTGGCGTGGAGCGGCACGCCGTGGTCAGGCCAGCCGGTGAAATGAAACTGACGGATCTCTCTGATCTCGGCCACGCCCCTCTGAGTCACATGACACAAGTCAGAAATATTTCATTTAAAAACAGAAATGATGCCGACGCACAAACACAGCCTTGGATTAAAACTAAGTTTGTATGTTTCTAGACTTTTATTTTCGTTTTGTAAATCATCTATCGTTCAAGTTAGACCTGAAAAAAAGTGAGGTTTGGGGGGAGGGTCAGGATCAGCCTACAGGAGGAGGGTGGAAGATTTAAATCTTCACATTTTTATGTCTCATTATGATACGTTAGGATTATCAAGGCAGGTGCACAGCACTGAAAACCAATAGGAGCTTAGCACCGTAGCATTCTGGGTAATGTCACTGTGCATCAGAGCGAACTCTGGTGCCTTTGTATCAGTATTTACTTCTTATTACTGTCTGTCAAATGACTGAATTTTAATTTGATAAATCACAGGGTAGCTGTGAATTAATAATGATTCATCTTCATTCATCAAACTACATTTTAAACACATTTCTAAACGGGACCAAAAACGTCTGTGTTCTCTGTTGTGTCCTCATCCTGACCGAGCCGTTCGTCCTTTAAACAGACGGCGTTCTCTCAGCTCACTCTTGTTAAGAGGCTGAAATCTATGTTTCCCACTGGTGCCTTGTTCCTTTTCTGAGACTCAGCCCTCGTGTCAGGCTGGTTCTAGGAACAGTCGACGGCGTGTCGACGTGACCCAGTTAGTTTCCAGTTGAACTGCTCACCTTCTCCACAGCAAACGTTCTGATCACGTACTCCGACAGAAGCTGAGTCTCGATCAACGTCACCTTCATGTCGCCGTAAATCTCAGTGTCATCGGGCCAGTACTTACAACACTTCACCTGCGCACACACACACGCACACGCACACAGTCGTTAATTAAAGTGAAACATAAACAGAAGAAAGGCAGATGAATCTCATTAGAGGCTCCGCCCCCTCTCTTCCCTCATTAACTGCTAATTACTGCTGAGATAATAACACTGTCACCACGGAAACCAACGAGGTGAGCATGGAGGGAGATAATCAACCTGATCCATCCCACAATCCCACAATCCCCCTCTGTGACTCTCCTGGAGAGAGCCAACACGTCCCTACTGCATTCTGGGTAATGAGAGCTGGGACAGGGAGTATGCCGCGGGCTGTGTGTGTGTGTGTGTGTGTGTTGGATATGGAAGGTTTAATGACAAAAAAAGTAACTAACAAGGACAGTGAAGAGCAGAGTGGACCGGCTCACGTTTTGTTTACGTTCTGTTAACGTCGTACGAGGTAGAGGACAAATGTATTATTCTATGAAAACGTGAATTTCTCTGAATTTATTTCTGCTTCCAAAGTGTGAGGACAGTGTTCTTTGGGTTTTCATGTCTATTTGTGTCTTCACTTCACTAAGTGGAGGCAGTCATTTCACACAGATTAGCCTCGTCTCCAACCAGTTTTCTATCTGAACTTTACAGAAAAAAAAAGTTATTTTTCAAACCACAGACATCAGTTCTGCACAGGCTGTGACCTGCAACTTTCTATGAGCAGCAACTATATCTATATCTATATAGATATATCTATACTGTATATATATGTGTGTGTGTGTGCATATATATATAAATATATATATATCTATAGTGAAATAGTTGAGTCGTTCTCCTGCAGCTCTGTATGAGTGAATATTGGCAAAAAAAAAATCAACCACAACAAAAAGAGATAAGTAATTAGGAAGCACAGGAGAGATGCATTCTGGGAAATGAAGTCCCAAACTTCATCAGTGGAACAAACAACCAGATGGTCACAACAATTTGGGCATGTGTGTGTGTGTGTGTACATGTGTGTGTGAGAGTCTTACCCTTCCCACCTCCACCAGGTTGGTTACCATGACGATGGCAGCAGTGTTTTCCTGCCAAATCATTCGCCAGAAGTCGTACACTGTCTCCTGCATAGGACCTAAAACACACACACACACACACACACACACACACACACACACACACACACAGTAGCCTTGTATTAGACAGCAGGCAACACCAGGGCTGTACATGAATTACAATCACACTTTTAGTTGATTTAAATGAAGTGCACGTACACACACACACACACACACACACAGTTTTAATCACTGTTGACAGTCTGTGTTTTGATGAGCTAATTAGCTCTTACTAATCCATTTCTGTCAACACACACACACACACACACACACACACACACACACACACACACACACACACACACTCAGACACACACACATGTGCTTAATATTCATACACACAGATGAACATGTTTGTGCAAACAGGTTGATTCTGGAGGACGGTTTCAGCGTGTGTGTGTGTGTGTGTGTGTGTGTATGGAAATGTAAAGCTCGATTTCTTATAAATTAGAAAATAAATGTTTTTTTTTTCTGTCTGCAGGTGAAGAAGAGTCGCTCTGTGACATCACTCTGTGACATCATCAGTGAGTGGCTGAGGTCATTTCCTCTCAGCTGTTCTGGTGTCTGTGCTCAGAACTGACCTTGTGTTGCGATGTAGTGGTTGGGTCTGTGGTAACCCTGAAAGAGAGAAAAGAAATGAGCGTTACAGTTTGGATCACAACAAAAACAACAAACTTCATCTTAAGAAGTTCCATCATTTTGAAAGGTTCTGGTTCTGAGGCTGCAGGTCGTTCTGTTGTCACTGGTTCCAGGATCAGAAGCTGCAGAACGAGGATCAGTGGATTTCTCAAACGATAGCCTCTGGATAAGAAGCTACGGGACGAGGATCAGACGGTTTAACAGAGAGAAGCTCCAGGATCATGATTTAAGAATCTCCAGATTATCATCTCTGAGTCAGTCACGGAACATTTAAGATCAGATCATCAGCTTAAGAATTAGGAGCTCAGGTTCTGGGATTAGGACGTCCAGCAGGAGTGCTGCAGGAGCAGGACTTGACCCCCCCCCCCTCACCTCACCCCCGCATACATTTAAATACATCTTAAGGGCCGGGCCTCAACCTAAGGCTTGAGGAACATTAGTGGTTCAAAGATTTAGTGATGATAAAAAAAAAACAAGACTAAAAAAACTAATTAAATAATAATAAATAAAAAAATGACAAAGAAACAGAAGAGTCTGTGGGTGGAGGTGAGACTCACATCCACGAAGTTGGCGTTGATGTAGTCTGAGCCGCTTTCTCCATCCTGAGACTGCAGACGCACACGGGAGTGATCGTCTAACACACACACACACACACACACACACAGATTTATCATATTAGACAACATAGACAACAAATGAATGATGTCAACCCAGACTCCGCCCACTTGAGGGGGCGTGGTCTGTGATGTCACATCCATCTTCAGCACTAATGTCAGAACTAATGTATGAAAGCTGCTAAAATCTAAAATCAATTCCTGAAGTCCTGTATTTCCCAGCATGCACTGGATCACCACGAGCCCCGTGTGAATTTTTTTTTTACGTACAGGCGATGATGTTTCCGTATCGGTTCTTCATCCGGTTCTCGTCCTTTTTAGCCGAGTCCCACGGAGCGGACTGTCCCTCAAAGAAACTCTGAAAGAGACAAAGTGGAGGAAGATCCAACTTCAGGAACCGAGATTCAACACACACACACACACACGTGCACACACACACGTGCACACACACACACTCAAAGTAACCCACAAAAGTGTGTGTTGGTGACCTCCATGACCTTTCAGTACCTACTGGTTGTATAAATAAAACTGTAAAATGGAACTAAATTAAACTAAAAGTAGTAAATAATAATAATAACAATAAAAATAATAATAACAGTTTTTGACACAAAGATGAAAAAAAAACAGTCCCAGCACAGTGAGGAGTTAGACTAAAAATAGTCAAAAGTCAAACCAAATATAAACAAAGACACCTTTGTTAGTCATAACAACCTCTACTTTAGTTACATTTGTGGCCCCGCCCACAATCAGAGACTTCCTGTCCTTCATTTCTGAGTGTCCTCTGATTGAAGACAGTTCCTACTGTAGTGTTGCTCATTATAATGCCTTCAGAGATGCGGTTGTTTGTGTGTGTGTGTGTGTGTGTGAGTCTGTGTGTGACAGCAGTCTAACAGCTCCAGACATCCATCAAACCAAGAGGTGAACAATGTCACACACACACACACTCACAGACACACACACACGTACACAGCTATTTATGATTGACAGCAGAGAACAAAGGGAGAAAAAATAAAGGAAAAAAGTGAAATAATGACTGCAGGCAGTGCAGTGACTGGGAATGTGTGTGTGTGTGTGTGTGTTTGAAAGAGAGAGAGAGGTAGAGCGGGAGAAGCGGAGATGCTAATGCTACCTGTACCTTATAGCTAATTACACTTTCTCCCAGGAAAAGGTCGAGAACAGGACGTGATGTATGACTCAGGACTGGGACCACGTCAGTATTTCCTGGACTGATTTGTTTTGTTTGACAGACGCACTTTGTTTGTCAGTGATGTCACCACTGCCACGGCGTCAGTATCACCAATTTATTTTTTTTAGATATTTATCTTTTACCACTGTGTGTCAACTTTTCCCAACAAGGTTAACCCTTTCATGCATGACAGTCACTACAGTGGACAGCTATGGAAATGTCATTTTCTATGATAAGAATAGGTTTTGATGGCAGTGTTGCATATAAGCCTCTACAGTGGACGCCTGAGAATCACCCAACACTGCCATACAGTGGTCAGCCTTTGCAACTGCAGAATAATTGTGTCAACATTCAAAAAGAAAATTTGGTTTATAAAAACAGAACCAAATCAGTTCTGATTTTTATGTCTAAAAACACATAAAAACACTTAGGAACATTTTTTAACTCAGTATATCATGAGTCATGCATCAAAGGGTTAAGACACATTATCTGACTAACAGCAGACAGCGAGGCGTTAACTTCCTGGTCACATGACCAGTTTCGTCTTTCGTGCTTCAGTCTAGTATTTTCCATTTACTGTATTCATGTTTTACTTTTCTAATCCCCGGAGGACGGCTCGTCTCTCACTCCTTGTCCTTCAGTTTGAGTCCTGACTCGGGCTTATCTCCCTCTCAGGGTTGGGCCACAATGTTCTGTGAGAACCTTCTCCAGCTGACTCTGATAGCCCCCCCCGCAAACCTCCCCTCCTCCTCACTGCCTGATAAGTCTGTATAACTCTGTAACTTATTTCTCTTCTGTTTTGGCTGCGGCGGTGGGATGTTTGGTTTTTTCCTGAACGCTGGATAAAAAAGATAGACTTGACTTGGAATTCATCTAAATCTCAATCTTGGTGTTGTGAACAGTAGGTGAAGCTGCAGTAGCTGCCAAAAACCCAAGCACACGTGGAGAGAACATGTAACCCCCCCCCCGACCCTGCCCCCCCCCACGAGAAAAATCATCCGTCTAAACCAGGATGTGAAGCAGTGACGTCGTCGCTGCAGTGGTTTTCAAACGTGGTTCTCACTTCACGGACCATAACAACAACATCAGGGCCCGATGTCGGAGCTCTCTGTGGGAGTTCTTAGACTGGTTTCTGGATGGTTTTTTTTTTATCTTCCTTCCTTTTCAAAGCGGGTCCGTGAACATGACAGCACAGACATCTTTATCCAAGATTTCACATCATTGAAATCACCATTTTAACGTCAAACCTCTGAAAAGTATTTGACCTAACAACAACATGTTTGACAGAAAAATGTTTAACTTCATCTCCTGCAGGTCGACTTTGTTCCTCTCTCTCTCTTCAAACAGAAACAAAAAGACAGGTAGGTTACATTTTTGGGATGATTTTTCAGTCGGTGTTTCCTGCAGCTCCTCTGAGATGATTAATAGCACAGACGATCTTAAATTTAGGTGCTTTTAAGACCAACAAAGAACCCCGTGAAATATGGCCCAGAATTCAGAGCAGACGTACATTCTGAAAATATGGCTTTGTTTGCCACAAATTGGAATCTCGGTTTGGCAGGGAAAAATAACGGCACCGAGAGCTTTATGTTTTACCTCAGTACACATCCCAAACTTTATTGAACTCTCAGAGCTGTTTCCCAGCGTTTCAGACCAGTATCTGGGTCGCAGCTCCGCATGCATGAGAAGGTGCTTCGAGACGCTCGGTGCTACCTTTTTAAAACCTTCAAATTACAGGTTGAATCGTCTCGTCAGCGTCTGAATGTGCTCTCTGTTCATGCTCAGACATGCCGTGTGTACGTGTGTGCTGTTTGCGTGTTTGTGTATGAACAGTCTGACGACGTCTTACCTCGTTCAGCTGTCCAATCAGATTAATTTTAACGGAGAAGCATGGAGGGAAATAAGATTGATCACTTTAAACATCATTGAGTTGAAAACATGATCAGAGCTGTTTCCTCTGAGTCACAGCTGATCCACAGGAAATCAATCATCAATTATCATCACGTGTGTGTGTCTGTGTGTGTGTGTGTGTGTGTTTGGAAAGTTGGATGCTGATGGATGAATAAAGGATGAAGCTGTGATTTGTTTTCTAGCCAGAGTTACCTTACAGTTCACTTCACTGTTAAAGCTCAGCCTGTTTTTCCACCGGAGGCTGTGGACGGAGGCTGGTGCGAGCTACACACACACACACACACACGCCGTTACATCATAGAGATACATCACACACACACACACACACACACCGTTACATCATAGAGGAAGAATAAGAAAAAGAAAAACTAAAAATAAAAACTGATTTACTCTGCCTTTCAATCCAAACGACTAGAGATCCGACTGCGAACATTTCTTGAAAAGCATCATCTTTTACTGGTTTTCAAGAGAATTCTCCGTTGACCAATTAAACGTCTGCTCTCCTTCTGGCTCCGCCCTGAAGGGGTCAGACCACTGTTGTCGAAGCAAAAACAGAAAACTGACAAACACTGGGATGGTTTGGATCTGTTCCAGAGGATACTTTTTTTTTCCTGGTAAAATAAAATAAATAAACAACTGAACTGACGAACAAACAAACAAAGAAAGAAACAAAGAAAACTCTTCCAAATCAAACCAAACTAAGTGAAGTGAACTGCAGTGAAACTCTTGGTGGAAGAAGATGGTTCAGTTAGAGAGAGACTGAGTATGTGTGTGTGTGTGTGTGTGTGTGCGTGCGTGTGTGTCTGTCCTCACAGGTACAGGAAGACAAACACGTGTGTGCTCAGTATGTATAATGGATTAGCCTGTGTGTGTGCCTTCAAGCACACACACATACACACACACGCGCACACAGAGACATACGCACACACTTTACCACAAAAACACACACTCCATGTTTGGGCCAATTAGCTTAAGGGAAGATCTATAATGTATCTGTGTGTGTGTGTGTGTGTGTGTTCAGGTCAGGAACATCCATTAGTAAGTTTCTCCTGATGAAAATGGGTGAAAATGTGGAGCAGGTACACACACACACACACACACACACACTCACAGTGTTGGCTCTGACTGTGTGTGTACCTGGTTATCTGTCACCTGTCACGTCATCTTTTCACTCATTGATTGACTGATCACTGATTCAGTCGGTCAGTTCCTTCATTCAGTGAGAACTGATTAGTGACTACTTCCTCTCCGAGGCTGGTCAGTAGTTACATCCTGTCTGTGACTTTGTCTGATCGTAGTCTGGCAAACATCTACTTCCTGTTTCACTTACTGTCTGAGAACGGAGTCTAATGATTGTCTATTTCCTGTCTGCGGATGTGAAATAGATTCTTCACTTCCTGTCTGCAGATGGGGGCAGATATTTGGATAAATCTTTGCTGTGGTTGTTACACAAAAGGAGCCCATCGCCGCCCCCTTGGTGAAGGTTAAGGTAACACACTCTGTGTGTTTGTGTGTTTGTGTGTTTGTGGTGAACATTCACGTTCTCACCTCGTACTCCTCCTTGAAGCCGTAACCTTCAGCACACTTCATCTGCGTGATATGCTGCAGGAGGTCGGCCACCCGGATGGCGGGGTGCAGCTGACCCGTCTGGTACGTCACCGCCTCTCGGTCCGCTTCCCGCTGCTTGTAGTGCGACTGGACGAGGCTGCTGGTCTCGCTGTTCATGGTCTGACTGTCGTCTGGAAGGAAGAGACCAAGAGATCGGTTTACGGTCGTGGAGGAAACGTAAACGCTGGAGCCGTGCGGTGAAAATGACAATGGAGGATGTCATGTGACATGAGACCTGAGAGCATGATGTCACACAGCTGACCAGGCAACCAATCATTAGTTATGGTTCCCACATGGTTTTTTATGGTTTGTATTTGTATTTGTGTTAACAATATTTAAATGTGTATCTGTGTTGTGTTAACAATATTTATTATATTATATTTGTATCTGTGTTGTGTTAACAATATTTAAATATAAATGTTTAAAGGGTTGTTCAGTATAATAATCATTATTTCTAGCATGTTTGTTTTGTTTTCTCTATTGATTTAACTATTTTTGTACGCTCAACACTTCTGGTGTGTAAGCTAGGCTATCACATTTAGCATTAGCCATATTAACCTAGCATCATCTGCTCTGATCTCATGGCACCACTGAATGAGGACTAGTCGTTAAAAAAAACAAAACAACAACAACAAGCTTCACGACAACCATGTTGTCTCCACAAAAACACAGAGAAATGATACAGGAGTAACATGACATCAGATCACATGACTGAAGAAAGAATGGTGATTGGCCCTGGATTCTTTTCACACAGTCGCTGATACTGTTTGTCACAGAACAACCATGTTTTTAAAGTACACTTCTGGTTCTGATACAGTGTGTTCTCAGGGCCAGTTTGGAACAGGATCTAGAACCTTCTAGTTTCACAGTGTTCTACATAAGGATGATTTTTCTTTTTTTAGATCCAAAAGTCAGATTCAAAGCGTTGGTAAAACTAACCTGAGAACTTGCTGTGGTTTATATCTACAGAACATTTTAAAGGTAATGGTCCCAGGTAGATGTTCTAAGTGCTAGACTTGTAGCCTTGATACTTTTGGTTTAGATGCTGGTCCAGATCCAGATCCAGATCCAGAACCTTGTGAACTGGAACTGTTTGTGGAGTTGACAGTGTGAAAAGAGTAGAGCTCTGATTTCTGGAACACTCCGTCCCAGAGTCTGATGATGACATTTCAACTCAGCAAAACACCCTCTGCTACACTTGCTAACTCTGCTCTTATTGGCTAGCCTGTGGGTTGACTGACCAATCAGAAGCATACTTTCCCAAACAGCCCAACCAATCAGTAAGATGAGTGAGGTGATGACATGAACGTTCATGACCGGAGGGTGACAAAAGGCAAAACAAACATGAGAACCAATCAGTGGGAAAGAAGTGGATGGAACTGAAAGCTGATTGGTTTGCTGTGAATCGGTGGGAGGGTTTGTGATGCCACTATACCAAACAAGGGTAAAATGGGGGAATTTCCACACTAAATCCATGACATCACAGCAGGTGTTGTGAATAGGTGAAAATCCCAAACATGACTCCAACCTCTTTAGCCCCAACTTCAACCACTTACCATTAATGGGCACTTTACACAGAGAAGATAAAAGAGAAGAAGAAGAAAAGAGGAGACAGAGTTTAAGCAACAGATTTAGCTTTAGCCTAGCCCTGCTAACACACCTAGCACGGTTTAATCAGAAACCTAGCTACATGTGCTGTTGTAGCTAGTTTTAAACATGGAAACGCTAGCAGCTAGCAGTCATTGCTAAAGTTAACCTGGCTAGCCTAGCTAACTTCCTGACTAAACCTTGATGAGATTGAGAACATTGACTGAGCCTGAGGAGAGAAGTTTTTGTTGTGGAATTTTTTTTTTCTTCTCTTTAAAATGATATCCTGGTCTAGCAGCATGGTTAAGACTAAAGGCTAACTATCATCAAAGGTCTGATTAAGGTATTTGACCACAGACAAAACTGAATACGGTCCAAACCATTTGTTCTCAGTCTTTTACGATCAGACACCGTGTCAGTTCTAAAATTGGGGATTATGATTCTTGACTTCTGTGTTGAAAACTGTTGTTCACATTGACCTCAGTGACACAAACTGACCACACGAGGCAGCAGTAGACTTTAGTGATTGATCTTTGAAGGGCAATCAAACAGTTTTGCTACAGCTGGGGATTCATGTTTTATAAAACAACTAAGAAGGTGGTGGAAATGTGTTTTTTTTTCTTAAACTCTGGTGATGGTTTATTATTTTTGAAGGAACCCAAATCTAACCCAATTTTTTTTTGTCTGGTAAAATGTATTCCTCCCCCCAGTCCACGTGGGTGTGTTGTGTCCATGCAGAGATCAAAGGCCACAGACAGACGTGACGTCAACACCACACGCAAGAATGTTGTGGATGTGGGGATGAGTGAAGCCCACCGTCGTTAAATAAAGCAAAATTAGAAATAATATCCAAACAAAAATATAAATATAAAATAGATTTTGCAATTAAAATTTGAGTGTCATAAATATCAACACCAAAACCCTAAAACAAAAGAATGTGGTTAAACTGCAAAGAAAAGGTGAACCAAGAAAATCAAATCTCAATCAAATTAAAGAAAGAAACAAAAGCAGCGAACGAGGAGCAAGCAGGATGAATGAAGCAGAATATCACTCTCTCTCCTTTCTCATTCTCTCCTCATTCTCGTCCTCATCTATGTCCTTCCTCCTGTCTGTCCACTTCCTGTCTGTCTGTCTGTCTACTTCCTGTCTCTGTCTGTACTGGACATATTGTTCTGTTTTCCAATAGAAAGAGAAGAAAAGAGTCTCACCCAGAATGGCCGTTGGTACAAAGGGGTCTGTCACCAGGAAACATCAGCAGCAAAGACAGGAAGTGGACAGAGGCAGGAAGTGGACAAAGACAGGAAGTGGACAAAGACAGGTGGACAGAGAAGGTTAAAAAAAGAAAAGAAAAAGAAAGAAGAAGGAAACATCATCTGTGCAGTTTGAGTTCAACAGCAGCTGACTGTGTGTGTGTGAGTGTGTGTGTGTGTTACCTGGGTAGTAGGAGGTGGGGACACTGGTGCTGATGGTGTTTGACTTCAGGGTGAAGGAGGATGGAGAGGAAACGGCTAAGACAGTAGGAGAAGAACATCGATTTGGATGTTAATTATAAATCATTATTATTTTATATATTAAACATAAAATAAAGGAGATTAAGAGATTTTAAATTTAGCAAATAATTATCACAGGCTCAACGCTGACATTTTCTTTATTTCTAAGATGGAAAAAAATAAAATGAAAAGATGAAGAAGGCTGAAGAGGAGTAGGAGGATGAGGAGGTGACGGCGGCCTGGGGGAAGGTCAGCTCCTCTCCCTTCTCTGTGATCCCTCCATCCTCTCTGTGCCTACAGCGGTGTTTGTATCAGAGTCAGGAGGAGGCAACAGTAAACACCTCACAGAAGAAATTCATCATGTTACATTCACAGACATGACAGACATCACAGACATGACAGACGACAGACATGACAGACGACAGACGCGCTTGAACAAAAATCAATGTGATCATTTGCCAGAGAATAAAATCTTACATTTTCTTGTCATCTATTTTTTCTTTTTTGTATCTCTTTTTAAATATCTGAACATTTCTGAGTTGTCATCTTGAACATTTGATCACATGGACAATCCATCACAGTTTTGGATTCAGTTTTTCTTGGACTGAATCCATAAACAACACATCTCTGTCTCTAAAGATTGAAATCATTTTCTTCTGTTTTAGTTAAATCTTTATCTCACATAATATCTTGTCTCTTTTCTGGTGTATCTACTGCTACAACATTTTTTTTTTTACTTTTTTTTAGCGCGGTCAGTAGCGGTCAGTGATCATATCCACCCGTATGCAGATGATACTCTAATTACCTTCCTGTCGTCGTCGTCTCACCTTCTCTCATTTCACATGAACATGTCATTTTGTTGTTATGTTTGTGTGTATGCTTGTGAGTGTGTGTGTGAGACTCACTGCGTCCGTTCAGTGTGTGCGCGTGCGCGTCCACCACCGTGGTGTGTTGCGAGCTGTTGACCATCAGAGTCATTTCCTGTCTAGAGCTCAGAGTTTCCTTTCTTTTCTTTGCCAACTTCCTGTGAAGACAAAACAAAAGGGAGTGAGAAAAACACACGTTTTTATTGTTAGCGTCGCTGTCTTAACCACGATGACGCTAAACCACTGCGTCGTCACACCGTGACATTTGGAATATTCTGATTAACACGGACAGTCTGTCAGTGCTGCTGTCTGTTCCTGATCCTGTCTGAACACAGGTGTCCATCACTTTGTCTCGCCTTTTTATAAAAGCTGCAGAGGAAACAACAACATCTGAACACACACACACACACACACACACTCACACACACACACACTCTCACAAAAACACCGGGACTGTTTGAAAGGCTTGATGTGTTTTCTCTCTTTCTATTCTGAGCGTGTGAATAAAAAACATCCATTTGTATGATTGCTTACACACGCGCACGCACACACACACACACACACATGCATGTACACTCATACATACACTCACACACAGTACAACCCTGACCTGAGAATGTAAAAGGAAAAAAATACAGAAATATATAAATAAATATAAAAAAACCAGGCTTTTAAAGTTAAAAGTACGACATCAGTGAAAGCTGTGAGTCTGAGTGTGTGTGTGTGTGTGTGTGTGTGTGTGTGTCGGGGTGAAAGCGCCCCGAGGCAGGGTGCTGCCCTCCTCCTCCTCATGTCTCCTTTTCTTCTCCTGTGGTTCAGTCAGAGAAAAACCTGCAGCGCTTCTTCTTCTCTGATTCAGACGTCCACAAACACACACACACACACACACACACACACACACACACGAACCCTCCATAAAGCAGCCGTTCCATTTGCAGTGCGGACATTTCTCCGTTTCATCCTTCTGTTCAATGAAATTTTAATTTCCTGTCCTTCGTGTTCACACAGACACGACCTCTGACCCTTAACAAGTCCCCCGACCTCTGACCCCGGTCTCGTCCACACACCCACTCATCAGAGGTGAGAGAGAAAAAGGAAATGTAGGAGGAAATCTGTGTTGGATGACACACTGCATCAGAACATGTCTGTGTGTGTGTGTGTGTGTGTGTGTGTGTGTTATTATGACATCATCAGCGAGGTGTCAGAGGTTGATTGATTTAGCAACACTTAACACACACACAGTGCATGTCAAGGCTAATCTATGCTAATCTAATGAGCGACAGGACAATGCTGTTAGCGGTAATGGATGTGTGTGTGTGTGTGTGTGTGTGTGTGTGTGTCTGTGTGTGTGTGTGTGTGGTTTCTTCCAGCCTTGTAACGCTCATTTGATAAGACAGGTTTATTACAGATGGCTAATTCTATTAACCCTGCTATTCACACACACACACACACATAGATATAAAAGATCACAGTCGTCTTGTCTTTGTCAGACATTCAGGTATTTTAAACTCGAGTTAAAAAGAAATATACATATATATATATATTTATATATTTCTTTTCATTTTTTCTCTGTTAAAGTGTCATAAATAGAGTGGTTAGGTTTTATTTCTGGAGGACTCCTATAGATTCTTGGCCGTAAATCAGAGCAGTGAAGGTGTAATGATTCCTTCTTCTTCTCTCCATCACAGACACACACACACACACACACACACACGCACTGACAGTGACAGCAACCTGAGGGGGCGTATGTGAGCACTTCCTGTCTCCATGAGGAGGTGTTGGTTCATATAAGTAACTTCTTTTTCTGTACACATTTTAAACTACATATGAGAAGGGAAAAAAAACCAAACAACTAAACACAGCAGTGAGAAACTGCAGCAACAACAAAACTAAAAGTTCCAACCAAAACCTCCAGACAAAACAAAATCAGGAAGAATCTTCCTATTTTGTATTTAGATTAAAAAAATTAGAAACTAATGTAGCGTACTGGCTGGAACTGCAACAAACCAAAAGTCAAAAATAGTACCTGTAACAAACAGCTTGGCAACAAAAAAACAAAAAAGCAAAAAAGGTAGATCGCAAAACCAAAACTTTTTACCAACAAAATCTAAAAATGCCAAATTAACAAGAAGGAAACAACATACCAACAAAATCTAAAAATGCCAAATTTTTAGGATTAGTCCCAACAAGAAGACCAACTGTAGCCACGACAACAGGAGAAGACACTTTTCTACTCTGGTGTTCCTCAGGGTTCTACTTTTGGTTCCTTATAGCTCCTATTCATTTGTTATTTCTGAAACACTGAGGTCAAATACACAGGATTAGAGGTCAGAGGAAGCAAAGGTCACAGGGTCACAGGGTCACAGGGCGACCGATGACCTCAGGTGTTAGTTGGAGAAGGGTTAGAGGGATTTCAGCAGGTGTTACAATTAGTATCAAAGGTCAAGCAGGTTACTTACAGGTAATAAGTGTAGGACTGAGAGTTTCTTCGTCTGAGTGGTGGGGGCGGAGCAGAAGGAAGAGTGGGTGGAGCAGAAGATGGTGAGGTGAAGCCAGAGAAGGAAAAGGGGGGAGGAAGAGGGGAGGGATGGAACGGAGGGAAAGAAAAAACAGAAAACAAAAAAAAACATTAATGCCTCAGAAAAGAAAATTAAAAAACAAACAGATGACCAACCGTGTGTGAGGGTGGAGAAGTGGAGGGCTGTGATTGGCTGAAACAATGTGTGAGAAAGTGGGGTGGGTGGGTGAGAGAATGTAAGGACCTGTGGCATCGTCTGCTTTTGAAAACACGACTGTTTGTGTTTCTGGTGATTTGGTGCAACTTTGTTAGTAAGTATTTGACTTGAGGGAACCTTTAACTCCACCGTTTTATCATTTTTCTAGAAACTCGTCCATTTTTATTTCTTACACCTGAGCAGGATATTCTAGAGTTTTGACTGACAGCCCCTTTAAAATGCTTTCATTTGCAAATTGTATATGTAAGACTAGTGCGAGGATTATGACAGGAAATGACGATTGGAGTTTAAGATGGATGGACAACACCACATACTCTAACACAAAACTAAAAAACTAAAAATTAAAGCATATTTCTTGGTATTAGAAAAAAAAAACTCTTTCAGTACAAACCTGAAAAAAAAAAAAAAATCAAACATTTTTGTCTGATCCAAGTTACAAAAAGAGAAGCAGAGTTCCAGTGATTCTTCAATGGGTCTCACAGCTTAATCAAA